TCAGCAGGGCTTTAAAAAAGTTATAAATCGCTCACAAATGAGTTCACAGTGATTTTAGAGTATTTATAATGACAGCACTAGTTTAGAAAATGTCCAGGTACTGAACAAATTCACAAAGTTTATGGAGGCATTGGAGAAGACAGTAAGTAATATAGACAATTGGAATATGACAGAAGCACAGCATAACTTCCCAGTCTGTCTTAATTTTCACAAGTGTAGCCAATACTTGTTTGTTTGCTTTACAAAATACATCTAGCAACATCCAAGAGGGTTTATGAAAAATGTTAACAAACTCAGCTTAACCACCTCCACTCTTGGTCTAGTAGGTGTGTCACAGAACTGTTCTGTTAGCCAGAAGGACTCTTACAGTAATTTGATTTCTTTTCAGCTCTGACCTCCAGCTAGCATACAAAGAGCAATGATTAAATGCACTTGGCACCTATGTTCTAAATGTTTAATATTTTGTCTTCCTAACAGTCCTTAAATTCACAGTGTATTTCCAGTATCTAATAAATTCAGCACCTTTTCTCCATATTTTTACATTATATTGCGAGATAAATTTGATGAGGTGCTGCACAGCAGTACATCAGCAGTTTTCTGTATGGTCAGCATTAGCTCATGGCCCATGCATTTCAGGCTTGACCCTTGGTAGCTAAGTACAGGCCAGCAGTTTGAAAGGGAAAGCAACATTCTTGGTTGGGCAAACTGATTTATGAAAAAGCCTTTACTGACCTTCACTAAAATTTATGTCTGCCTTAAAGTAAACTTGATCCTGCTAATACATAGAGCAGTAGCACCAACTGGAGAGGGTTGGTTGATTGTGTGTTGCAGTCCCTAAGCTGTGTATTCCTTTTGAGCTCAAGAGCTTTCCCTCTGGGGCATTTCAGTGTGTTTGCATGCTATCCAGTACACTGGGGTCCCAGTACAGGCATCCGTTGGGTCAGTGTATAGTATTATCCTAGTTGTCCTTACTATTACTGGATATCACTGTATTGTGCAGCTTCAGAACAAATAGAAAATTCCAAATTGCCATATATCCAGGTGTGTGAAATTCTGTGAGCACGAAGTGTATTTGAAAAAGGCACAAAGGTTTTAAGATTTTAAGACAGATCTTCAGCTACCATAAAGGTTGGTTTAGGGCTTTCACAAGCCAGTTTTACTTCATATTTTATAATAAGAAAAGAAAAAAATCTATTGTATACACTTTCCTAGTTTTCACCTACTTCTGGAATGCCTGACTGTTTTTGCCTTCGCAAATACCTAAGCAGGTTCATTATTCATACTCCAAAAGGAGCTGTAAAGGTTTAAATTACACTCAATAAACATTTGAAACTTTACTTCTTGCTTTAGGCATATGCACAGAACATTTACAGCCAGGCACATCATCTTTTCCAGCAAATAGTTCCTAAGAATGTAAATTCCAGTGCAGTGGTTGTCATATATTTTATGTTCTGTGCATAGCAATCTTGGCAATTTTGTTAGAAGCAATAAACCAACTACTCATGCCTGGGATGAACATGAGAAGAAAATGGCAGTAAGTCTGAGCATTTGTCTTTGTTGCTCAGTGTGTGTTTCAATTTTTTTCCTCCTGTGAAGATGATGATAAAATCAGATATGCTATAGAGTGCATCGGAGCGATATGTACACCCTTAATGAATCAACAGCTCCATTTGAAAACATGGAAATGAGGTGGCTGCATACTGCCTGTCTTTTTGCTTCCATACAGCAGCTGTAAATATTTGGTTGATCATCCTGAAGCTCTGAATTTTGAGAGCGACTAAGAGTTGCTTGGCACAGACAGGTGGAGAAGGGCAGGAGTGTGCTTCAAAATGCATGCAGTCCTTCTGGATACAGGGGCGATCCCATTGGTGAGAAGCCAGAAGGGACAGGCTTTCTAAGGTGGCAGGCTTTCTACTAGGCATTATAGAAATGCCTAGTAATCTCTGCTGCAACTCTGTTCTAAAATTGCAATCAGTCGGCACCTTCACCACTCATACTGTTCTGTTTTGTCTATAGCTGGCTGTAGCACAAGTTAAAAAAACCGTAAGGCATACCAAGGAAAATGATGCATTATTTAGAAAATAGCAAATTATGCCCTACAGGGAAAAAGAAATGGAAGGTTATCTCTTTTTTGGAGCCAATGTGCAAACATGGGTTACTGCTTTTTGTTAAGATGCACGTTAGCTATCTCATAGCAGATTGAGTGCGTAGTCTGTGCTGTATGCAGCAAGTTGTACTGTTACGTTTAGACAAACCAAGTGATTTAAAATACAGTTCACATGCGACTGGGCAATATTCTCAACTGTAATAAGAGTATCTTGTCAGCATGACCAGATTTAAACATGCTTAAATGGCCAGGTCTTGCATATTAAGAAGCCGATGAAGGTATAGGTATAAAAGGGGGGAGGGAGGGGTGTTTGTTGTGGATTTTTTTCTCCAAGCAGAAGATTAAGAGGTTTGGGGCAAGAACAGTGAGTGCTGCTACAGTTACCTTCGTAAACGGGAAGACCAACGCTGCACCAATTGCTGGTTTGAACCAGCTCTGCTCTGTCCTATGGACTACATAACATTAACTGCAGGAACATACTACGCATGCATCTCCCAGTTCAGTTGCCATCCGAAAGGAATGCAGTTGCATTTGAAATGTGAACCAAAGTAGTGAGGAGCAGGAGATTCACTCCAAAAGCCCACTCCTGATAAAAAATGAAATGCTAATGTAGGTACCTGCTGTATAAATTGGAGGAAGTTAACTGAACTAGCATCTCGCAGGAAAGACAGGGCTCTGTTTACAGGTGCTTTGAGACAGGGAGTTAGTTTACATGAAGAATTTTCACTTCACAGAAAATATTCTTAAAAGTTTTATTGAAAAGCAATTTGGAACATTCTTCAAAAAGGTATTTTAAAGGGTTATTTTTTATTATTTGGGAAATGCTAGAATTCTAAATAATTTTTCACAGGGTCTGCCAAGTGTTGGATATTTTTACTCTTTATGCTGTATTCCATTTTTATGTACTTAAAGATTTGTGTTTCAAGAGGGATCATCATTAGTTTTCAATTCAAGTGGTCTTTAACTTCATTAAGATTTCCAGGACAGAATTTAGTTTGAACCCATATTAAATTATCAAATGAAGAGTTTTCTTTCTTGTTCCATTTAAATATTTTGTGAAAAGGAAAAGGCTTTACAAATAAGATAGAGAATAGTCTTAATCAAAGCTGAGTACTGTGGCAGTAACAGTCATCTTGATAAGCTGCAAGATATACAGATGATTTATCTAACTACTACATTGCATGCTTTCATCCATTATACTCCAGGCTTTGCCGTGTCTTAAGATTTCCAATGACAGTGGTAAATAGTCCTTCACTGCGACATGGTTTATCCAAGAAGAGTGACTAGTCTGTTCTAAAACGTACCAAATAAAACAAAGGCTGGTAATCTTATGAGTGTTACTCATTCACCAGTGAGGTTCAAGTTTCAGGCCAGCTTTCTGCCCAGCTGAGTGTTTTGGGCAGCTACAGCAGGGTTCCGTTTCAGGTCTCTAGGATGGACTTCTAATCAAATCAATACAAAGTTCCTACGTATTCCTATTCAGATCTTTATTCAAGAATAGCATGCACATCAAACGGTTTTGCTACTAAGAACAGAAATAGGCAGCAAAATATATAGTTTAACAGACCAAAAGAAAACCAACAATTTACACATATGAAAATGAGTGATAACACTGGAGAGTACAAGACAGGGTACAAATTAAGATAGTGCCCTGTGACACAGGTAACTGAAGTAATTGCTAAGCTCCCCTGCATTATTTTGGTAGGTTTCAGGCCTATTCCAACCACATGCAAACCTGAAAGACACTTCTGTGCTTTTGGAAGAGAGACATAAGTTACAGAATGCACTTTATTTTTAATATCTTCCTGGGCTAGTTAAATAGAGATCATTACATCATTAAGCTACTTGCTACTGGACCACAATTTACATGCCTGGAGACATTCAGTTAAGGAAGTAGTTGATTCTACTGTTTGAAGAATGATCCAAAATGTCTCTAGGTGACAGCGGACTAAAGTATTGTTTTCATTATTTTCCTTTATTTAGAAATTAGAGTAAAGCATGGATTAACACATACTTTCACAACACAGGAAGGAAAGAAAAAAAGTGCTCTGCAGCCAGAAAGAGGTGTAAGCTAGTTTTATGCAGACTGTTTATAAGATAAAGCAGTGAAAGCTTTTCTGATGTTTGCAACAAACGCAGAAAAATTGTTAGTTTCTCTCACTTTGAGCTGGAACTCTGCTATACAGTCCAGAGGAGGAGTACAGGAAGTCACTAAAATGACAAAAATTTCCAAAAGATTAGACTATTATAAAAAAAATTCAGTATTAGTGGTTTTCCATGCTATTAAATACAGATGTAGTTTGCTGTCTTTGTATGTTTTAGCTTCATCCAGTATTGGTTTTGAGTAACTTTTTAATAATTTTCTTCCAGCAGAGACAAAGCCTCAAAGAACACACAATTTTTTTTTTATTTCCAGACCTCCCAGTCAGTGCTGTGCTCCTGTTCGAATTGTTAGAGCAATTCCCAGTAATCCATAGCCTGCTCGAAAAATCACATTCCTAAACATTTTGTTGCTCTGCATGCAGGCAGACTGAAAACTGATGCAGCCCAGCACACGATAAACTTTTAACTTCAGCACAGTTTAGATTTGAATTAGTAAAACCAGAAATCTGTTCGGTCCATACCTAGGGGCATAGCAGAGCAACAGTAGCATCCATCTAGAAACTACTCAGCACAGTACTCAAATTACTGCTACTGTTCTTGGTAACTGAAGTAAGATCCATACTGCAAAACCAGCTTCAGGATCTGGAAGGCCGTACCCTTGCAGAAGAGCATTGCTGGAATTCAAGTTTTAATCTTTCTCCTATGACACAGAGCTGTAAGGATTCCCCACAATAGTTTTTTTTTGCCCTTTAGGCTTCTCAAACAGGCTGAAATATGCCTGTTAGCATAAACACTGTAGCATAAAGGGAAAGAAGCAACAAACTACAAACTGAAGCATCTATATATCTCTCTATCTCTGCTCTCTCCTGCTCTGCTTGATATAAAGTAAACAGCAACTCCACAAATGGAGAGCAGTGAAGATAAGCAGAAGTTGTATTTTCATATAAATTGACAAGAGAAACTTCATTAAAATAGGTATTACCACTTCAAGATTTTTCATTCAGAAATTGGAAGGTAAAGGTTACAATTAAACTGCACTTTACTCCTCTCCCCCTTTTTTCAGATAAGGGCATCAGATTTGTCCTCTTGCTTACATATTCAAAACTGACATACCTTCATAATCTCCCTGTTCGTTTATGGAAAGGGTAAACACATATGGCTTGTCAGGATCTTTGTGGTCAATGTGTCTGAATATAAACTGTAATTGTTCATCTAAAGCAAACACAAACAGAATTAATTAACACCATTAACTTCTGCTGGAAAGTCACAATGATGACTAAAAATCACAATACTAAGCTACAGTTTCAATTAATATTCTTAGAACACTCACAAATTAAGCAACCTTGCTCTCTTTGAAAGACAAATACATTTTAATGTGCCCTATTTCGCCATTTGAGAGACAGTGGTAACACCTGGGCTGGGACAATTCTTCAGTTGTGTAAGCTGGTATGTTCTTCACGACGGAGTCCAACATTAACCACATCGTACATGGAAACTACAGAAGCTACCAAAACTTACTGTGAATTCTGCGTATCTCCAGTCCAAGCCGCTCTTCAAACAATACTTTAGACTTGCACAGTCGTTCCACTCTCTCCTTAGCAGCTTTGGTTTTAGATGATATTACTAGAATTTTAAAAGCCACCATAAATATCAAAGTAAAGGTAAAACAAGCACATAAAAAAAATAGAGTAGTAGAAAAGCCCATCAAGAGCAAGTGTTGAAAACAATTCCTCCTCTCTTTAGAAAGATTTACTTATTATCCTTTGCTTACTTTCCTTTTTCTTCATCAACTCTTCTTTAAGCTCTTGGATGCTGTCAGTCAAATCCTTCTTTTGTTCTTCTTCATGATTCAGGTTAGATTTTATTTCTGTCAAGTGCTCTTGATTTTCTGATATGCGTTGGCTCTGCTGGAGAATCTCTGAAAGGAAGCAAGAAAATATGAACATATGCAGCTGATTAATTAGGTCGCTGCTATTTAGCACTTATCTGTGTAGTCTGAGCTGACTCATTTATAAATCTAGTGAAATGCATGCTATCTCAGCTGAAGAGAGAAATCAGCATAACTATACTGAGAGCATCAAAGAAAAGCTTCAAGTGAAAGTTATTCAGAAGAGAAGCTACTAAGTAGGGAGCTCCTCTGATACTTCAGTCAGATGCAGTTTGTTTCTGGTGCCAGCACTATATACATCTTCAAAGCATGAGGATGGTGTATCCTGTCCACAGACAAATAATTTGACAGAAAGCAAGGAATGGCAACACTGACTGATACTAGAGTTGCAATTATTTTTACCTGATACTCTGATGTTTAACTACAAAATTCAGAGTAGTGAATCCTAGACAGGCTTACTGAATTCTATTACTGATATGGAAGAGACATAAGTAACTTTAGAATATTTAACTTACTAAGCAATTTACTTTTCCTATTGCAGTCAGCAAGTTCTGGTACTTTGTTGTTTTAAGTACTTAAGAACCAAACCCCTTACACAGAAAGCTTCTACCTGATCTTTATCTTTTTGTATTATCAGTGTTTTCCTACAAATTGCTCATGACTTGCAATTTACATCCTGTAACCAAACATGTTTGGTTTTAATTCCGTCTTCACTCTGATGTTGCCATTTACCTCTTTAAATGGGAAGTTAAACATATTATTCAACTGTATTAAGTTAATTTTAGAACTGTTAGTAACAACAAAAAGACACCATACTATACCACTGCTATACTCCTGAATTTTATCAATCATCAGGTCCCCTTCTTTTAACTTCTTGGACCATTTCTCTGTAATAGAAAGTTATCTCAGTTATCTGAAGAAGTTTGATGGTAATTTGGAAAAAGTAGAGGTAACAGTAACACAGAGCCTTTTTACCTGAAAGCGCTTTTATGGACTCCTTGCATGAATCTCTCAGTGCTAAAGTCTGATTGATCTGTTCAGTGCCATAAACGGCCTTTAATTTGGTCCAAAACTCTTTCATTTCTCTTTCAAAGAGCATTATTTCATCTTCTGTCTTTATATTAGCCATAGTGCTGCAACAGACATGTAAGCGAATAAATAAAATACAGCATCAAGAGAGGCAAGACAACTACCGCAGTCATAATCGCCGGGCAGCCCTCCAGGGCTGCACGTATCCCGTCGGCCCGTCACTGGAACCTCTTCCCATCAGCTGTGTCGTTATCCACACTACAACGCGCACTAACGGTAAGGCCAGGCTGGATGGAGCTCTGAGCAACCTGGCCTAGTGCAAGGTGTCCCTGCCCATGGCAGGGGGGTTGGAACCGGATCTTTAAGGTCCCTTCCAGCCCAAACCATCCTATGATTCCGTTCGCTGCTCCGCCAGCGATGGGTTATCTGTCTCAG